CATGCGTACCCACTTGCGTCGACACGGTAGTAGAAGATGGGAGACCATTTTTGGTAGGAGTCATCATGGTCATGATGCGATCGAGTGGCCGAGGACAGTGGGCCGAGGACGGGTCGCTGAGGACGAGTCATGTGGGTGGTCAACGCGGTGGCACCCATTCGCATGACCTGGCAGCTAGACATCTCGTCGGTTGCCATGTCGGACATGAGGACACTAATATTGTTTCGTGCAACATCAAATCTGTGCAAATCAAACCTGCGCATCGCATTAAGCGCTCAGCGCATGGTTACTTCCTATCCTATTCTTCTCTCGCGTGTACATACGTGGCCTAGTTGCGCGTGGGCCCCGGCGTCGAATTCCGACGCACGGACGCGGTGATGTTGCTCGACGTCGTCGTCGACGGTCGGCGTACCGTGGGCGTGCCACCCGACGCCCGCAACAAAGGTGTCGGTGCTGCGGGCGGCGCCGCATCCGGTGGAAGCTGAATGTTCTTGAGCACCTTGGTGTTGTACGACTTGCATTCTTCGTATTGGCACTACGCGACGCGTCACTTCATGTGGATCCCCAAAGGAACGTTGTCTACCTTGTGGTAGACAAAGTGAAATTTGGTCTCCGACTTGCGCTCGCAGTCGCTGCAGTAGATCTGCGATCGGTAGTTGGCGTACTCGGGCGGCATTTGCTCTTGTGCAAGAAGGTCGTCAATGCGTGCAAAGTAGGTGCGCATGTCACCGAGGGACTTGGAGCACAGCGGGCAAATGTAGTTGGTCTAACGAGGTATGAGACCTCGTGGCTTCGACAACTGGCGCTCGTACGAGTGTGTAGTCTTCGTAGCAAGCGACGTGCATGCAGTGCCCGCACGGAAGGAACATGACGGGCGTCGTCGACGTAAACATGTACACGTGGCAAATCGGGCAGTCCGACTCGAGGGACCGCTCGACGCACTTGTGCTTCTTGAGCGTAATGCTCATGCACGCGTTGCACTTGTCGCAGTGGAAGTAGTCGATGCCAAGGCCCTACGGAAGCATGCGATGGCACAAAGTTGCATATACGATGGTGTCTACCTTGCCGATGCGGCAGATGCGGCACTTTTCGCAGTGGTAAATGTCCTTGGTCGGGTCGTCGTCGTAGAACTTGCACACGTCGCAAAAGTAGCGAGCAAACTCCATGCCACAGGCCGCGTTCGTGCACGTCTTACCGACCGGCTAATGGCGCAGAGAAAGGCGTGGGTGTGCTATTGTGACTAGAATCGTCTACCTGGACGGTATGGCACTGCATGCACGAGATCTTCTCGGTCTCGTACCGATCAAATGTGTGCTTCTCAGCCTCGTCTATAATGTAGTACATGTTGGGTCACACGTTCTTTCTTGTGTAGAGGTCTAGTACCATGGCAGAAGCGGCACGAGTAGAACTTGTTGCAACACTTGGCGTACAGCTTGCACTTGCGCCTGCGCACCCACGTGAGTGCCACCCTGTCGTTTACATATCGTCATCGCCGTACTGGTAATGCTGGCATCCCATGATGGTCTTGTCTGCATCCTGTGGCCAGTAAAGTGAGCTTCCGGGAGCGGGATGGGCACAGAAAGCGTACATGGTACGTGACGACGGTCCGGTCGGCGTCCGTGATCGGCGTCTCGGGCTTCTCGACAGCCTTGGGCGTCAAGCGCTCCTGCGCTTCGTTCCATTGCTGCATCATAAGCTTCTGCATCCCGTCCGCCTTTTCCTTCGGCGTCAGCGACTTGTTGGTCTGTATCTCGAGGATCTTGGCCTTGAGGTTCGCTTGCGGGTTCTACGAGCATGGACGATCCATACCGTGTGTGCTTCATGGCGCGTCGTACCTCGGCCTTCTCGAGGGGCGGGGGCAGCGCCGTCGGGCGCATGGACGGTCGCCGCTCCGTCGTCGGCGCAACGTCGATGCTGCTGCTGGCGCCGACCTCAACCTGGTTCGGGACCGGCGCGGCCGCCGGAGTCGCATCGCCCCTGGCCAGCCCATGAGCATGGGCCCATCGTCGTCTACCTGCACGTACCGGAGCATGTTGATGGAGAGGCCGAGAAGACGCTGCATGGACCTTGGACGAGGAATCCCAAACTGGCGAACGCAAGCCCATCATAGCAGTAGGCTATTTTTAGCACTTGCGTTTGATTGGCCGACGCCGGATACGAAGAAACGGTCAATTGTGCGGTTTAAAATTCGAAATTCACCGTTTTTTTCGAAATGAATTTGCGAGATACACGGAAATACTGTTGTACTCTACGCTCGTCGTAACTGCGTCTCAAGGCACGCTACGCAAGGGACACTTGCCGCTACCATGATATATTGAGCATGCGAACGCCATTTATCACACTCCATGGCGCATCCGACGCGCAGGTGCTGCCTGGATGCTATGTCTCACACTATATAGGTCGACAGGTGCACACCATTACAGTGTACCCGACTCAATGCTGGTTCAAGCTTTAAAAATCGAGCGCACCTCTTTAATTGAATATGACCACGGTGGTTGTATTCCATCTCAAAGGTCCTGTCATATGTGATATTGTCCGGCCCCTTTGCAAACCTGTCATATATCATATCTGCAAAGCCCCGTCGTTCATAGGCGCGTCACGGGCTGACAAAGCGGGGTGGTCGAGACGGGCATTGTGCAGACCTTGACCCATGTAATACGAAGCCCTACGCGGTGCTAACCACGCAGCGAGTTGGTAATATAATCGCTGCAGCTTCGTCAAGCCGCCGGGCGTTACGAGCGGACGGTATCCGGTCCGGATACTACAGCTACGGAAGGGTTTGCTACCGATTAGGATTTCCTTGGCAAGGGCAGCAGCAAGAGCACGCAGGACGATGAGTGGCACGAGCGACAAGCAGCAGCGCAAGACAATCGCCGAGTGGATCGACAAGCTACAAGCGCGGGACACGGAGAAGCAGGCCTTCGTCGCGCTCGCGTACGTTGTTCATGCGGCGACAAAGGCGACTGACGCCCTCTGTAGAAGCGCGATTCCGCATCTCGCCGCCAACTCGGTGCCCAAGGTCTTACTCGACCTCGAGCGCAAGCACCCGGTACGAGCCTCTTTGCATGGCCTACCGTGATGAGCTCATGGACGGCGCAGGATCCGGTCTTGATGTCAACGCGTGAAAACGTCGTGCTCTTGATCGAGCTCATGTGCACGACGCAAGCGCCTGCGTGCGCCAAGCTCCGCAACAGAATAACCGCCTACTTGAACCGGCGTCTGCGCGACAAGCGAAGCAAGGTGACAGACGCATGCGTTGGTGCGGCCGGCGCGCTCGCGCTGCATGCGCTACCGTTCTTGCCGCCGTCCGAGCTCGAGACGATTGTCCAGCCATTCTGGACCGAGGTGCACATCATGAACGACGGCGCAGCGCGCTGCCTCGGCGCCATCTTCTATCCCTCCAGCGGAGACGCCGCGCTGCTCGCAGCCCACGCGGCACGCGCGATGGGCTATTTAATCTCTTTTTTGCCACAACTGATGGCCAAGTTGCACGGCAAGATTTACGCAACATACTCGCCGATCTTTCACATCCTTCTGCGCATCGTCGTTCTAATTCAAGACGTTCCGGCGTGCGTCGAGCTCGCGACGGCGATGGCCGACGCCATCCCAAGCCTCGTCACCGCCATCGACGACGTCCTACACGTTGGCCAACGCGACGACTGGCTCAATCGCAAGCGCGGATTGGACCTTCTTGGCGCCCTCGTAGCTTGCTTTGGAAGCCACACCACCGTCGTTAGCCTCCAGGTAGTCGTATCATCCTATCTCAAAACAGATCGATCCTACCTCAATCCGTCATGACGCGTAGGCAAAGCTCATGCAATTGGCCGAGCGGGGTCGGTCCGACTATGTACGTGCCGCCAATTTGCTACTACATTCGAGCTCAGCCGTTGCCATAGGCGTCACCTGTGCGGGAAAGCGCGTCGGCGCTGTTGACGCACCTCGGCCCGCTCCTCCGAACGAGCCAGCCAGACCACGGGAGCACGGATGTCGCGTACGCTGCACTCCACCCGGTGCGGCCGTCGAGCCCGAGTCCGCCGAGCCCGGCACGATGGGTCTCGTCGAGTCCGTCCAAGCCGACGTCGTTCAAAAAGCCATGAGTTCCACGGCGCCGCTTGTCGACGCTCCTCGCCCCATTCTCGTCGCTCGCGAGGACAACCAGACGAGCCAGGCGTTTGCCGACAATGCGCGGGTCGCGATGGAAGAAGGCAATATGGAGCTCGCGCTGCGCATCGCGCTGCTCTCGGAAGACCACAGTTTGCTCTGGAAGGTGCTGGCGTTCGCGCAGCCGTCCGTCGCGCTGCTGCGAAAGACGACGCTCGACGCGCTCTGCATGTCGTTTGTCGACTATTTGGCGGCGCCCGAGAAGGCCGACGTGATCTTCCCATGGATCTCGTGCCTCGTCAAGCTCGACGGCTACGTCAACCTCGTCGACGCGCGCGTGCTGAGGGAGCTCAAGACGCAACTCGCCAACTTTGCGGCGCCGTCGGCCAAAGAGAGCTTGATTGCAGCCCGGCTGTACGAAGAGCTCGTGCCCTCGCCGATCGACGACGAGTAGAAGCGTTGGATAGATGATGATGGTAGTCGGATGACGTCAACACGATTCCTATCTCGTCGACAAGACATGTACAACTTTGTTATCGTAGATCGGACCATCACCAGCGACGAGCGTGCTTCAAGAGAGACCATCATGCAGCAGCAGCACGTCGGTGATTCAGTGCTCTGAATTCGACTTCAACTTTACCAAACCGCGCAAATTTTGAATTTGGTACACTGTAGCCCACACTTGTACGACGTGTCTGCGCAGAGGTATATGAGTCGAGTGCTGGCCCTTGCCTTGGGTATTATGCAGACATGAGCGCACTCGCAGAGTACTTATCTCGGTGGTAATGTGGGTCAAGTGGCGACGGGCGCCGAGTACTGCTGCTAGCGGGTGTGCCACAAAACGGCATTGGATTGGATAAAATGATGCGCATCGTCGCCCTCGGATTGGCTCGATGAGCAAGATCGTTCCGCGCACCGATTGGCCAAATTCGTTTGGCTTGCGCGCCGCCGATTGGCCATTGTGGCGCATTCATAATGAGCTCGAAAAACGCCAAGCGGCAATGGGACCAGACGATGGCGTCGAGCGGCCTTGCGCTGCCGACGGCGCCCCGGAAGCGCAACTCGGGTAGGAACCTCATGGAGCATGGCCATGCGCTCTATGGATGCATGGGCAGGGCGTGCGGTCAAGATCAGCAAGGCCATGAAGCATGTCGACGAGGAGACGCGCAAGCAGGTCCGGAATGCCCGCTTGGACGCGCTCGAGGCCGACAACTACGTCGAACCCACCGAGGACGGTGACGACGAAGACCTGTACATCGAAGACGACGCTGTGGGCCCCAAGAAGTCGTCGAAATCGAGGGCTAAAGGCAAGGCCAAGGCGCCGGTCGTGCCCATCTCGAGCTCGGGTCGGCGGCGCGTCGTGCGCAAGGTCAAGAGCCTCGCCCAGCTCGTCTTTGAAGAGGTTGTCGACCTATGATACATCCTCTATCATGGCGCTCATCTATTGCAGTGCGGGACCGGCGAAGGCCTCGGCCCCAACTACGTCACCGCCGCGGTCAAGCCGGCCACGACGCCGCCCCGCAAGTTTTGCGTTGTATGCGGATATCCTTTTGACGTCTTCTGCCTCTATGACAGGATTGACCACGTTCCTTGACAAGCAAGCGCACGCTTTTCTCCAACTACGCGTGCGGACGGTGCGGCTCTCGATTTTGCAGCGTCAAGTGCGGCGACCAGCACCGAGAGACGGGCTGCTTGAAGTTTAGCATGTAGTAAGTAGAAGCGTCGTCTACTTGTGCAACTCGTACTGCAGCGATGCAATGTCGTGGACCTTGGTGACCGGCACGCCGTCGTCTTCGGTGATCCGGTGCGGGTCGGGGCACTCGCCGTCGTCGACGTCGTCGTAGTACTCTTGGCGGCGCGTGATTTTGAAGTCGTCGACGTGGATCGTCTCGGTAAAGGCCGTGAGCTCGGCGAGCGACGTCGGGCCCTGCGCTAAGGCGTAGCGCACGAGCTTCTTGGTCGCCTTGAGGACGTCTAGGATACAAAGGACTGCATCGGTCGCCGCTTCGACGTATCGTCCGCACCTCCAAACTGCATGAACGTGGCCTGGCTTCGGTGCCAGATTTGATCCATCTTGAGAAATGCTACCGTCCATGCCATCATAGCCGGGGTCGCCTTGAAGGGAAACGAAGGGTACCGTAGTAATAGAGCTCGTAAAACGCAGACGGCTCGTCGAAAAGACGCCAGCAGTTGTCCGACGTCTCGGCAAACGACCCATCCCCGAGCTACTCGTTGCACAACACGGATAGGATGACAAGATCAAGCAAGAGACATGGACGCCTACCTTGAGCAGACCCGCAAGCATGCACGTGAGGTTGATACCTGCGACGCAGACAGGGTACCAGCGCTGTCCCGCACTCGGCACCTGGTCGGCAAAGATGTAGGCCATCTAGACAACCGTCATATCTGCATCCAGGTGGAGCATCCGACCTTGTCCATGTGCATGTGGCACACATACACGAGGCACTTGAGGCCGAGGAGGCCGCCGCCGCGAAAGTCCGTGTCCGGGTTGCTGCGCTGGAAGCCGAGCTGGAGCCAGCCGTCGCCGTCGCGCGTGAACCGGGGCTGGGCCATGCCTGGAATTACGCTTTGGCTGAAGACCGTCGTCCACAGCTCTTGCAAAAGCGCTTCGTACACCGTCTCGGAAGGCGTGCACTAGAGGATCAAGGAGACCGTTGGAACGACCAGGATACGATCGATGGTGCGTACAGGCGTCTTGAGGTCGGTGCGAAGCACGTCGAGTTCGAGGAGGACATTGGCCGACGGCAGGTGC